GATGGGTGAAGTCTTGTTTTTGCACCTGTCCAATAAGCAGCGCTAGTTTAAGATCAAATACTTTGATGTGGGAATACATGTCAGATTAGTTTTCCCTTGCCTTGGAGCTGCAAGTTGAGGCCGTTTAAAATTTCTGACACATCTGTTAATAAAGGCGAGGTCCCATTTCCATTCTGTGTCGATCAGCTCTGGGACAGTTTTTCCCTTTGTCAGGAGAAAGGCATTGATTTCGGGTAGCAGGTCGTAAAAACGCTTCAAAACTCTGCCCCGGCTTAACCAGCGGACTTCAGTGTGGTAAAGCACGTCTCCGTGGGCTGATTCTAGCTCGGAGAGAAAGGCTTGGAACTGCCTGTGTTTAAGTCCGTTTGCTCTGATGAAGTTTATGCAGGACACAACCACCTTCATGACAGATTCCCACCTCAGAACTTTGCAGCTTGACGCTGGCTCGGTCATGATCAAAGTCACGTCAGAATATACCATTGTGTGAGGAGGTGAAGATGAGCCACTATTAACTATAAATAGCTCATAACTATGGTCAATTTTAATTAGAATGCCAACCTTTAAGTACGGATATGTTATGATGTTATGATAGGAAAATGCAATTTAATAAAAATTGGTTGATGTTTAGAGGGATTGTCTGGGATCGTTAAGTGGGCCACTCCAATTGCTTTGGCGGGCCGGATGTGGCCCACGGGCCGTAGTTTGGGGACCCCTGTTCTAGAGTAATCACCATTTTATCCCACTTAGTCTATAAAAAATCTGGTAAATCTGAGGGTAAATACATGCTCTGTTTTAGTGTAAGTGAAAATATGATGTATTGATGCCTTCTCCCTCTTCTTTGCGTGACATAAGAAAAATCTGGCACTATGCAGAAAAAAGGTAGACTGAATCCTACCTGCGCTTCATCCAGAAGGGGCTGAATTCTCTCTCTGGCCTTCTGCTCAGCTCTCTCAGCCCACTGAGTTGGCGAGACCACTTCAGACCTGAAAACCACAATACACCCACATCCCAAGCTGTCACAGAAGAAGTTCTGAGCCTGGGAGATTTAACTTAAATAAACTTAATGAGATACTCGATTCCATGATAACATCATTGACTGTAGATAAAGATGGAGGACATGACAACTCCCCAAAAGTGAAGCCAAAACATCTCAATAACCCCCTGGTGGCTGCAGTACAGGTCATAAACCCCACCCCCCTCTATGTTAGCAGGTGGGACATGGGCAAAGCTAAAAAAAATACATGTCAAATAAAGATGATTTCTGTAATTTATGTTTAAGTGGTCATTTTTCAGATAAGTTTGGTTTTAATTAGATGCTATAAAAAAAGAGGGCATGATGTCATGATTGACAGCTGTGATTGACTCGACTGAGTTGGGTGGGCGTATGTACGAGACCTCGATAATGCCGCTCCACCAGCCAATCACTACCACACAGACTCTAGCTCCAAATGACATCACCTGTGCAAGATGGCAGCTCGACTATCCGGGATATTTTGGCCTCATTTTTGTACAGTGGGAGGAAGTGGAGACATGTTGTCCATCTTTATTTACAGTTCAAAACACAGTATTAAGAAATCTGTTGTATTGGTCAAATTTAGCCCAGTGACAGATGTTGAGTTAAAATTTAAGGCAAATTTTTCTGACCCATGAGAAAAGTTAGTTTAAATTAAAATGATGAAATGACTATCTCCTTCGAGTCTATAAAGTAATTCATGTTGCTGAAAAAACTCGGAGCCACTTGTTTCATGACTGATAATTAATCAATACACATTGGTTTTCAGGCCAAATGGGATTTACAAAAAATAGTAATTATAAGGTTCAGTGTTTGGCTACATATTCACATTTACTGCGATTAAACAAGGGCAAAACTGTCACCACACTGCATAAAGAAAAACCTTGTGAACGTTGCAGTGAATTTGTCCTGGCCTCTTTCACGGTGGAAACCAATGGACTAATTTGCAAAGCCTGACATGCTACTTACATCGACTCCAGCTGAGTTCAGGGCATAATAATAACTCCATAGAGATTAATTTGATGAATGTGACATGAGCATTTCTTACAAGAAATAATCTGCTGTCTGCGAAGGGGTCTATTGTGCACTACCGATCACCTGTTAACAAGTGACAGGTTTTGTACAATACCTGTCACTTGTTAACAGCGGAAGCAGGTGGAGCAACTGTCTCCATGCCCACTAACACAGTATGATATAATGACTCTCTGATTTCACCTCTCTACCTCAAAGTTGACTGTTAATTTTTTTTACTCCTCAAAAAAGCTTAGCTCTAATGTGAAAAAATGCTGTAAAATTTAAAGGCCTGCAAACATTACAAAAACTATAGACAGTTTTTTCTTTCCCTCTATATTAGTAGAATTCTTCCTTATACCTTTAGTATTTTACTGTAGTGTATTTGTTTTAACTTTAACTTTATCTTTAATTCATAGTTGTGCTGAGTTAATGGAATAACTGATTGTGGCAAATGGAATAGCAGGAGGAACACATAGGTACAATAGACTTTTAATGGCTGACATTTCACCTTGTCATAGCAAGAAATGCCCAGCTGGAGTAAATAACATTAACAATGGTACAATTCTATTCAAGTGTCCTACTGACCCATTGTGCCCAAAATTATCCAGGCCCTGGAACTTGCAAAACTAAATGGTGAAAAATTTCTCCAGGTGAGAAAAAAACAAAACCAAAACAAAAATCAGCCTATGGGCTGTGCTTTTGTGTGGGGAAACAGAAGCACAAAGGACAAACCTGCACAACTGCTGATGTAATTACAGCTTTACAGACCAAATGTTGACTGCAATCTATGCTCTGCTCATGCTGTGTTTTGTTGCTGGCCGTGCAGAGCTTAACTGTCCAGTGACTAATTAGGAGATGTGTAGTGATCTATAGGAACATATGCTCTCTCCGTTGCTGAGGGGATGTTGCTGCAATTACAACCTGCATTATTTTCTGTTCTATTGTTGGTAGATAATTACGTTGATGTTGTAATTGCCAATGTAACTGTTCATTAAATTGTGAGACCTGACGCATTGAACTGTTCGGTAGATTACTATGTGGATAACTGCTTTTGCTTGGCAGCAAGATTTCTGTGTGTTTTTTTTTTTTTTTTTAGAGTGGCATTAATGCTGTGAGATGTTTCTCCTTCCTAAACAACCTAAACAGCAAATGTTTGTACATGACAGTGCACATGTGTATGCATATATTATCGTGATTATTGCTATATTGCATATGTACTGCACAGTGATTAGGAGCCTGTGAAGAAAGTTCTAAGCCCTTCTGCTAATATATCTATCCTGTCCAAATCCAGCTCAGTTTCATTTGTCTCATTAGGAAAAAAAGAAACATAACTTTATTTCAGTCAACTGCTTTAACTGTTTTTACTGTAGTTTGGTGTCTATAGAGCTTGCAATGTGGGCACAAATGGTATCAAAAAAGTGTTTGATATTTGGCTGGATCAACGTCTATCAAATGATACAGCATTATGACCTTAACTCTCCTCCCCACAGATGGTATTATATTACTACTGTACCTTAATCTCTCAATGCGTCCAGCCTCTTCTTTACTCAGCTGGTTGAGCTCTTTCAGCCTCTGCATCGTCATCTTATCCAACCAGGCTTTTCTGTACCAAGCCAGTAATCATCAAATGAAAGCAAAGTGTAAGCTCAATTAAGCATTTCACATAAATAACTTATAATCCTCATCTCTAAAATCAGACTGCTTGCCGCTGATTAATTGGAAAGCACAATTGTAGTAATTAAAGTTTGATTAAACAGAGACATATGTGGAATACTCAATCAATGAGGTGCTTATAATCACTGAAAACGGGCCAACTATTAATCACTCATAAAGAGAAATGGCCTCAATCTAGAAAGCACCTAGATTACTTCATTGGACAGAATTAACTTTTAATTGGAATCAGAGTATTGCCTGTGGCTCTCAGCGAGTGGGGTCTGACACAGAGGTTAGAAATAACTCACAGGAACATTCTTTTTCCCCAGATTTCATCCGTTTGGCTTTTTTTTCCTCTTTTGCTATAACAGATAATCTAAAGTAGAAAAAATAAATATCCAAAAATGCCTACTCTGAGAAATGCTAGTGTTTCATTCTGAAAAATATGATAAGTAGAAAATATTAAAATCCGGTAAAAAGTTAGAGGAGGTGGGCTTCACCTTAACGCTTCATCCTGAGCTTGTTTCTTCCTTTCTGAGCTCAGGATCGGCTCTGCTCCAAAACCACCAGCCACTTTCTGCTTGGGAGGGCTGGGTGAAGGCTTTACTGGAGAGAAGAGACATCGTGGCTCTGGTCTCCCCCTTTGTGGGGATCTGAAAGAATAATAAGCACAGGCAGAGATGCACTTTATTAGGACAAGTCAGAAGAGATGGTGGGGGAGTCAAGCAGGAGGACGATGGAGAAGAAGAATCATGCAAAGGTAAAGAGAAAGAGCTGTTTTTACACAAGGAACCTGCAACATTGCTGTGTGTTTTGACACTTCTGTCTGTTTTACGTAGATTTTTCTTCTATTAAATTTAATGGTGTCCACAATTAGCACATTAATTCACAATGTATTAATGTGCAGATTATTAAATACTGATTCATGCTGGATGCTGCTACCTACAGATTAGAGTTTCAGACACTACAACAGTATAACCTTTGTTATATAATGACATTAATCATCTAGTGTGAGCTGACTGAGACTAAAAGCATCGGTGAACAATAACAAGTGATGACTTTAAAAATCTCATGTGTCATCAGCTGTACACAGTGATAAAAAGCTCACCGCTGTGGAGGAGGAGAGTGAGGGGATGTAGGTATCCATGGCACAGAGCGCTCTTTTTGAGGGAGCTCATTCACTCTGAGCCGAGAGGAGACTGTAGGCTGCTGGAAGCCTGCATCTTGCATCTGATTACCCTGTGAAAATAAAATTACAAAGTCAATGTTTAGATTTTTTTCACATGGTAACTTGGTTTTCACCTCTGGCACAGTCAGTGTCTTCGAACAGAACCCAAATCACACTGGTGGGAAGATAATATAAGGCACTTCTTGGGTGTTTTAACATATTCAATTCAGTATTGAATTTTGTAGTCAAGCCAACACCTTCATTATAATGTCAATCTTTCTTCGCTCAGAGTGTAGTCCTTTTCTGCAGCTGGTGTTTGTCTGAGGTCGTCCCCGCAGCTCTCTCAGCTCCCTCTGCTGGACGAGGCTCTCCAGGCCAACCCTCAGCACCTCTCTTCTGTTAATCGGCTGCTGAGAAGTAGTTTTGGGTTTCTGTGAGGCCATTCTCCACCCTGCTGTCACAAATGAAAAATTAAACCTTTAAAATTGTTTTCATCTTGACTTGTTGACTCTTACTCCAAGTTTAAGAATAGCCAGAGTAAAAAACCACCCTATTTTTCTTCCTCACTAAACACAAGTTAATCAGTGTGGAAACTGGGGGGCATTATGTGCTCACAACACACCACCAATTAAGACAATTAGTCAGGACTCTTGACAACCACTTGGATCCCTACTGATGGCAGATCAGTGGCATGGGGGGCTTAAGTAATACAACAAAGATATTTGTTTCCAGGGAGACCTAAGCTCATTGTAGGTGTTTGTGTCATCTCTTCCACAGGATGCATCTCAGCACGGAGCCAGCAGGAGTTAACTGCTCATAAGACTAGCAGCGGGGGGGCTGAAGGCCAGAGTTCAGCACTTCAGTTCCTGTTTTTCTATCACATCTTCATGGCTCCTTATCAGTTTTCAGCCTGTGTGCAGCCATTTAAGCACAGTGGGGGGCCCAAACACAGCCGCACAAAAGCTCTTGGGTGACTTCCAGATACACTGGAGAGTTTGTTCTTCATTAAAAGGCATGCATACTATTTATCTCTGTGAGGTTTTCAGCAAATGGGCCATTGCCTTAAATAAGAAATTATGAAGGAAAATACTGTGTTTATATTAGATTCATAAACTTAGTATTAATAGTTACTGTTGCTCAGGCTTAAAACTAGAAACACAGTAGAAAATGATTCCTAAAGTTACACATGTACATGTGGCCAACTACAGAGAAGCAAAGGCTTTTAAACCTGCTAACTGTTCCATGCTAAAGAAACCATGGACCTCACCATGGACACCTCTTTTGGGATTTGCGGGTTTGCGAGTTCCTCGAACAGTTGAGGTGGTGGGACCCTTGAGCACACCAGTAGGCAACATGCTGCGATGAGGGGACTTCCTGTGTGGAGGGCATGTTTGGGCTTGCATTTTTTCCAGTGCCACTTGTTTACCGAGGGCTGAATCCAACATCTAAGAGGAACAGAGTGACAAGACATAAAAAACTTGTTTTATTCACATAAAAAACTGTAAGAGTCCCTTCATAAAATAAGTTTCATATGAAGAAAAATACCAATATAAGTAATAAGTAAAATATCAATTAACCAATTAAAAAACAATCACTCATAACGCATACTGTATACTATGCACTAAGAGCCATATGCAGTGCAATCATAAAGTATAAGGATTATATGAAACAAGTGAAGTGGAGAAAGTGCTGATTCTTATCTTTAACTTAAGGGGGTTTGAATCAACATCAAATTAATACTGCAGGAACTGTAAACCTCTCTATACATAATCAATTTTGGAGGAAGGAAAGTTAACTGAGACTTCAATAAAGTCATCTTATGTTTAAAAGTTGGTCATCTACAGCCATTAGTCTGTGAGCCATCAACAACAGCAGACACATTGCATATTCCCTTGTAATGCCAGACACATGTTCTGATTGTACTTTATGCTCCTCACCTCTAGTTTCTGCAGGATGTCGAGGGCCGTTTCAGGCACAGCTGAACCCTGGTCCACTTGGACTTTCGCTGAGCACAAAGAGAGCTGGCGAATCAGCTGACCCAGCTCTTTGTAATGAGGAGGTACCTTGCTATGAGATAGATCTGAAAGCTGGTGGATAACAACCTGTAAGGCCCTCTGTGCCCCACGGTGGGCAGCTGCAAGCCTGTTTATTGCAGTAGACTAAAATAAGAGCAGATAGTAAATCAGTTTTTAGCTTAATGTCCTTCATAAAAACAATGAGAAGTAATACAACTGTGGTTTCAGACCACTTATTGGTGCATTTGGATCCATGATTACATGGTAAATATTTATGTTTTGAGGGAAAGTCATTTACATATTGATTTCAATGCTTTATCATTATCAGCAAATAAATAAATGGACTCATCTCTACATAAAATTAATATGTGACAATGCTGATGTCATACCTTTTTGGTGTCCCACATTTTCTGGCTTCGTAGTTTCTCTATATCGTCTTGTATCTCTTTTACCTATTCAATAACAATTTAGTAGGACAGTGTTTACAGATTCAGAGCAAATGAAAAAGTCATGGTGAAAAGTGAAAGTTTATTTTTCAAGTAGGTAGTAAAATTTAAATACCTGTTGTTGGAGTACATAGATGCTACGTGCTGAGCGCGCTGCCTGCTTCTGTCTGCGTATCTCCAACTTGTTTTGCTCTTCAGGCTCCAGTGGCTCCTCTATTTTTTCCCCTGTTGTTTAAAACCCAGCATTCATTATTATTCATCACTATGCATGAAATGTAAAACCATATGAAAAGTATGCTGATTGTGGTGTGTGGCAAAGTTCTGTTAACCTTTAAAGTTCTGAGCTGTACCTTTAAAGCTATATTCCACAGTAAGACACAGGTCTACCGTAACAAGCTGTTTTGTAGCTTACCTCTGTTGGCTAGCTCTTCTACTTTTTGAATATACACTTCAAGCTCATTTTGCAGCTTGTGGATTTCCTGGCTTAAAGGACCCGGTTTGCCTCCGTCCAGCTGCCTTAGGCCATTGTCTCTGGTTGGGGGTGACTGGCCAGCCCGAGGCATTCGACAAATGGGACGCTTCTGGGATGTTTGCTTTCCTCCAGGACGGCCCGTTTTCTCTTTTGGACTGGAGGCCTTAAACTTGGCCTTATTTGGAGTGGCTGCAAGCTCCTACAGAGGGAGAGAAAGAGTCATTTTGCTGTCTGACTGAATAAAGTGGCAAAGGTCCCTTGTGTAGGACTTAAACGGATAAACTATTATAGTCTTGATTGTCTCAGAAATAGTTAATTAATTAAAAACTATGAATTCAATTACCTGAAGCAGCTCTACATCACTTGTTTCGAGGAGGGAGGCCTCTTGAGAAGGTTTGGCAGGGGATTTTATCAGTGACTCAAGGCGCCTTCGTCTCAGATCTCGCTTGGCGAGCTTAATGGCGGCCTGCAGCCTCTCCTCAGAGAGCACAGTGAAGCTGGTGGAGCTCCTGGTGCTGTCCATATTCTCACGCTCCTCTGACAGCGGCATCAGCTTCTCAATCACAATGGGGGCTGGTAGACGTACATGTGTAGCACGGTTGCTGACACTTGCAGGGATGGCTTCATTGAATAATAGCTGTAACGTGTAAGATACAAATCAGTCTTAACCAGTGTCGTACATGCCAAAAACAGCCATTGTGATGTGCAATCATGCTTTTCATATGTTTTCAACAAGTATTTCTGTCCTTTAAAGCTGGACACCCTTACACATCCTCAAATGACTTCTTTTGTCCAAGACCCCAAAATATTTGGTTTGCAATAATGCAAGACCAAGAAAAGCATCAAATTCTCACAACTGACAGGCTTGTACCAGTGAATGTTTTCCATTTCTTGCTTTTTTAGCCCAACAATATATCCTACCTTTAATCAGTTTTTTAATTTAAACTGTTAAAGAGGTGTCGATTCAACTTTGTGATCATTTTGGAGGCTGCACTGTTTGGTTCTGTTGGACAACATTGTTGTGTATGGAGAGGTTTTTCTAATTTCAAGTCTATCCTCACTGAAGTAGGTGGACAAAATATTAGAAATAACTCTTAGCACGACGCAATGCGATTCAACAGCACAACACACCTCAGTACACTCAATGGTAATACAACATTAGCCTAGGTAAAGCCACAATTTCAATGAGGGCAGGATTTATTGTAGATAATGTTGTATCAGACTGAATTGGATTTAATTGGTTTACCAAATAAACTGGCAACTGAGTGTACATGGGCGCATTTGTAACAGTTAGCATGAGCCATTTATAATATAAACACCTTTGAAAAATAACAGGATTTAGACATTTCTTCCACTGTTTACCTTATTTCGGGACATCCCAGTGGTAAAATCGCTGCGGTTTCGGGTTGAATCTAAAACAACCCAGTCTCTCCCTGGACTTTGCTGTCCGTCAGGAATCGTGGGACCATCCATCAAGAACTGTGCAGTCATTACGGTAAAAACAACCGCCACATTCGTGCCAAACAATTAACTGACAAATGATATAAGTAATAATATAATAACATAGGTAATGCTCATGAGAGTTAGCATTAGCAAGCTAACTAGGCTTTTGAATTGAATTTTGCTAACGTCAAGTTAATCCCAAAATCATCCATTCCACCATTTCGACTTCGCATATGACTACTTTTTTCAGTTTTCTATATTGATTAGGAATTCGCTATGAACATTGTTTTGCTAACTGTATATTACTCAAAACATAGCACATGGTTAACATTTTAAATTTTTACTCCAAGCTTGAAAACAATTTGAACCACCGCCATGACAACAACAGAACGCAAAAAGACGGAAGTAATGTTTAGGCTGCGTTCAAGTTATGTCGTTTAACCTGTAATTTGGAGCAGCCGAGTGGGAAAAAAGCAAGTTCATGACGGTTACATCAAGATAGAATTCAATATTGATACTATTTAAATTGATACAGCTAATTTCATAGGAGCCACACACTGTTTTTTGTACAAAAACAAACCAAGCAGCAAATTTAGGCTGTTTATCTTGTTTGGTTACAAGATTTGCAGATTAAGCAAACTCTAAGGTCGGAGTAAAAGGTGTTTTCATGATCTTCCTATTCTGCCAACATTACATGAACACACCAAATACGGATCGTCAAAAAGTCCAAAATGTATAGAACCTAATTTTTTAATGACATTTCATTTAATTCAATTTCAAGCGTGGTGGAAGAAAGATTCATCCTTTACTAAAGTAAACGTACCACACTGTGAATATACTCCATTACAATTTGAAGTATTCAAATCCCTACTTAATGAAAAGTATGTAACAGCAAAATTTACACATAAATAAAAAGAAAAAGTATTCTCTAGGCAGATATATGTTTCCTGTCAGTGTTTCATTATGCTTTTGGATTAATATTACTAGTGCATTAATGTGTATGTTGCACGTTACTGGTGCATTTACATTCAACCACTGAATAAACACTCTTCTGTAATGTGTTCTATATAAGTGAAAAACTATGATAATAACATTAATAACATTATTCAAGTAAAATAACGACAATTTGAATAATAATTTAAAGTGCTCTATAAATAGGTCTATTCGCGATTCAGGTACACTGTCGCTTTAAGAACCTTTGCACATACCGGAAGTGGTTGGGCCAAGTTTACAGTATTTCTACCAGGTCCAGTGAGTGCGGAGCAACAGTATTTCTGTTAACACTTGTTAGTCTCTTATCGTTTAGCTTTAACTTTGTGCCTTTACATATTAACTCGGTCTAAACGATGGCCCATTATGAAGAAGTAACTGTGCGTGGGTATGATGAATTCTGCAAGGCTGTATCCGAAAGAAAAGGAAAGGATATTTTTGCTTATTTTTCTGGTAATAAAGATGACCAAGGAAAGAGCTGGTGTCCAGATTGTGTGAAAGGTAAACTCCGATATTTTACTATACTGTATATAATATAGCTATTCGATGCTTGTACTTTCATTTTGAGTAGACTTGATTGAAATGTTTGGTTATGTGACAAACTTTCCATTGCTGCAGTAATAAGGTGGGTATGCTGGTTTGCAGCTAAGGATCTTGATACTGATTCATTTCATGTCTGGTGCTCTTTCATTTTGTCATTTTTAAACAATTTACCTTCTTCCCTTTCAGCTGAGCCAGTTGTAAGAGGAGAGATGACTCATCTTCCTGAGGGCTCTGTCTTCATCTACTGTCAAGTTGGAGAAAGAGCTTAGTCAGTGTTTTACTCATTTTTACTCTATCATCTTGTAGCTAACATTTAAACATTTAATTTAAACACACACACATGCGCTGACACAAAACAAGAGCACACCATATTATGGCTGTAAGTAACTGTTATTTCCATTATTGAATTTTTTTGATGAATCAGATATCTTCTTTATAAAATATCATCAATAATGGCAACCACTGGTGATAAGAGCTCAATTCTCAATTGCTAACTTACAGCAGGACCAACAGCTAAAAACCCAAAGAATTCATTTTATAACAAAAATATAAGCAATTCTTTGTATTTGAGAAGTCACTTACCAGTAACCTGATAAATTACTAACATAGTCAGATTAACTTCCTCAGGGGCTCTGGCACAAAAATTTGTTGTTGGGCCCCTGTTGATCTGCCCAGTAAATGACCCAGAAATCAACCAAAAAGCTGAAATGATTAGTTGATTAAGAGATTAGTCAATTGACAGAAAATTAATGATAACAATTTTGATAACTGATTTACTGTTTTAGTACTTTGTCAAATTCACTCTTAACAGCTTCTCAGATATGAAGATTTACTTGTTTCCCAGTTTTCTATGAAGGTAAACTCAACATATTTGGGTTTTTTGGCTTTTTGTCAGATAAAATCAACAACTAGAATATGTTCAGTTGGGTTTCAGGGAATAATGATGAGCATTTTCCACTATTTTCTGACAAGTTGTAGACTGAACAATCAACATAATATTAAAGAAAATAATTGTCCGATATATTGATAATGAAAATAATTGTTGGTGTAAGCCTTACAGTACTTTTGTAATGGAATAATTTTCCCCCAGGTTTTCTGTGTGTTAATTCCTTGACACACATTTAAATTGAAGCAATTTGATAAAACACTTTAAAAGAAAAGATCACAGACAGACATAAATGATATGCAGTGCTTTGCCCACTTGATAATCCAACCTTGATTACCAACTGCTTTATGTGATCATCAAAATTTAAATTTTGTGTTGCTCAGATAATGGATTATTAATTACTAAATGAAGCATATGACTACACATGGATCTAATTTTACATGTAAGAATCTAATTGTCAAACTGCATAACAAGTTACAGTGAGCACAACTGTAACATTAAGATTTCTAGACAGACATCTTTTGTTTCACCAGAATAATCATGTGTCATATAAACAATAATTTAAGTGAAACCCAAAAGAAAAGGAGCCACGAGAAATTGTAGAACTTTTTACTTGAACCTGTAAATCTTTCAGAGCAAGGAGATTTTGTTTATACAGGAAATAAAAGTGGAATTCTTTTTCTTTTTCTTTTTTTTTTCTTTTACTGTACATTAGACCATTCTCAGATGCAGTATCATTTAGGAAAGCTGAAAATCCTCTTTTCTATTTCTGTATCTCTCATGGTGCATTGTCTCAGCTGCTTAATAATGTCTTTTTCATGCATCAGTTGGAAGAATCCAAATAATGACTTCAAGAAGACTCTGAAGTTGAGTGGAGTTCCCACCCTACTGAGATATGGCACAGTAAGAATAACTACACTTGATGTTTTATCAACGTGGAATAGCTAAATCTTAAATATTGTACAGAAAGATCCTTAGAAATTAGTTACATAATAAGAGACTGAATTCCAGCTAACATCCAGTTTTTTTTATGCAGCATTGAATATGAAAATCTAATCCTTTTAATATAGCTTTTAGGCAGTCAGATTCCATATTATACAGCAATATTAAAAGCCAACCATGAAATCTCTTTGTTTCAGCCTCAGAAGTTGGTGGAGGATGAATGCTTCAAAGCAGAACTGGTGAGGATGATGTTCACTGAGGACTGAGGGATCCTGTGCTGCTCACATCACTCATAAACCAGTAAACCAGTAAATCTCATCCGCCCCTGCTCAGTTATAGCACTACTGCATTATTGAATATTGATAACCATTCACAAGATGCACCTCCCACTGTGATCTGATGCAAATTAGCAACTGTACTTACAAAAATAATGAGCATCCTTTTCAACTAATTCTATGCTGGAATAACACAGAATGGATGTAATTCATGCACACTTTTCTTGTTATACTTTATGTGCAATCAGTGGACTCTGTACTGTAATTTGAGGTGATTTCGTCTACTCAGTTATAAGATTTTTTTATTGTGACCATTTTCATGTGATTTTTTTTTTTTGCCCTGCAGTGGGACTTGAATAAAGTGACACTTGATGTTGAATGTTTGTGGGAGAAGAAAACTTGTGTACTGTGTTGTATGATGATCATGATGGTCACAAGCTAAAACTTTAGGTAAAAGTGACAAAAGTACAGCTTCAAAGTTCTGCTTTCATCATTAAGGATTTTACTGTTGTAGCTGCTTGAGGTGGTTCTAGTTTAAACTACTTTATATAGAGTTCAGTTGTTCTCAGTCCAGGGCTCCAAACCCTTCTAAGGGTCACTGGATAAATCTGATGGGTCAAGAAATGATTCACGGGAGAGGAAAGAAAAAAAAAAAAAGTTATGATTCACAAATCTGATTTCATTGACTTTTTCCTAATCTTTACATGAAATGTTATTGGCCAAATCGATCTTTACTGGAACTAATAACATCTCAGTTGTGACAATTTTTCCCAACCAGTCATTGCTTTTTTGTAACTTGTCACATGTCAAAGAGGTTGGATTTGATATTTAACAATGCATTTTATTTTATGAGCTTTTTAAAATGTTAATGTAAATCTTAACTTAGTGTAAATCTTAACATTTACACTAAGATAAACTCTAAAAAATAAATGTAATGGAGTAACACGTAGAATATTTCCCTCTGTAATGTAGTGAAGTAGAAGTATAAAGTAGCATAACATTGAAATACTCCAGTAAACTACAAGTACCTCAAAACTAGGGAGGTGAAGCTGTGCCAGAAATCCCTGCTCTGCTTGACCGTTTGCTGCAGCCCAAGTATTTTCCTCTTTTGGAAACTAGGTGGCAGCATATTCATAAGAACAGAGTGTGGTTTAACCTCAGGCTTATCTTTTTGAAATTTGAACAATTTGAATTAGAGTTATCTAATGATGCTGATTAAGTTAATAAATCCTTAGCTTTTAATGACATATAATGTAAATTTGAGGTCAAACCTATATTCCGGATGCTTTTAATCTGAAAATCAGACTGGGGATTTAAAACATGTAAACTTGGACATAAAAGAATTTAGCTGGATTTTCTATGCTTTACACATAAAGAATCCACAGAACTTAAAGATGAAGTGTCCTCTTCATAACTAGAAGAACCAGATGTGATGATGAAAGTGTGTGCTTTCGGGAAAAAGAGCGCAACCGCTGTTGCAGTCAGGGCGATTTAAGCGGAGCGCATTCCTGCACAGCGCTCACACCGGAGGACTAGCAGCGGTGAAACACAGACCGCAACGCCTCACAGGAGCTGGGAGCTCACCTAAAACCTCACGTTGGAGGTGGAATAAGTGCTGGGTGTCGCCTGAACATAGCGGTTTACATGTACAGCAGTCTCGGCTGAGGGCAACATTGTGTGTTCGAGGACTGTACGCTGCGATGTCGGAGTTTCTGGTGAGTCTACTCGGGGAGCGGCTCGTCAACAGCGAGAAAGCCGAGGTGGACGTGCAGTCGCTGGGCGCCAAGCTCTCCCTGGTCGGGCTCTTCTTCGGATGCAGCCTGAACGCCCCGTGCAAGCAGTTCAACGGCAGCCTGTGCGAGTTTTACAGCAGGTTCAAAAAGACGTCTGATCATAAGGACAAATTGGAAATCGTCTTCATCTCGTCTGATCAGGACCAGAAACACTGGCAAGACTTTTTGCAGGAGATGCCATGGCCTGCGTTACCTTTCAAAGACAGACACAAAAAGGTAAGATGGGTCGTGGTGATGAGGAGGAACGCTGCCAAATCACTGCTTATTCTCTGAGGAGGTTTTAGCGGGCTGGAAATGACTGGGGAAACCCTTAACAGGCCATTTCTGCCTCCTCTGCCAGTGCACAGGTGTACATGCTTTTAATTTGGGTCATGAAATTGGTTTCCCTACATCTTTAACCTCGTTTTAGTCAGATTCTTTCTGATCTGACGGTAATCAAAATTGTGTCTTTTAGAAATCAAGTCAAACTAGTTAGTGGAAACACATCCACGACTGCATTTAATATGATACATAAATTCAGATTTAATAGAATCAGTGGTTATAAAACAGCCAATTAATTTCACTGGCATTTAACCTTAAAAACCAAAAAATATATATATAACTCAAATGTCAGATAGGCTTGCACAGAAAAAGTATTAGGATTTTAATCAGAAATTGACTTTAAAAATCATATTCCAACCTCTTGATTATAACACTTGCAGCCAGTGGAGGAACTATTTATCCCCTGACTTAATGTTATCAGGATGATCTAAATGTGGCAGGCCACACAGAGGTAACTGAAACACTTCCTTTCCTTCTGTCTTTTCACTTTCCACAGGCTGATAATTTTGTTGAGGGAATACTCCTCAAAACATAATACTTCAGATGAACATCAAACAGCAGTGTTATTATATTACATTTAACATATTATACATGTTGCTGCATATGTAGCCTGCCCGGTAAAGGCCTTTTTATTTTGACATTTTCTCATTTATAGCTTTCCCTGATTTCCTGATGGTGTCAATAATGTGTAACTTAAAGTGTTTCTAGTTTCCTACTTTGCTTTATCTCACTTATTAAGAACTTTTTATTTTAGTCCAGTTTTTGTAAATTATGAGGTGTGAGGATTTATTTTCTGTGAAATGTGTGTGAAAATTAAGTACAAATACTTACTTGTCAGTGGAAACATATTTTTAAAATATATATTTTTATTTTAGGGTGTTACTGTACTAAGGTATTAAGGTTGACTGCAATCAGATATTTTCTTTTAGATCTGTTTTTGAAGAAGTTTTAATATCTTAGGTAAATATTTCCTTTTCTTTTGTTCATAGCTAAAACTGCCAGACGAAAAAATAAATGACTCATAAACATCTTGTGGATAAATTATGATTCTCTATAATAAATTAAAAGGATGTTTTAGAGGTTTCCTTTACTGGTTATTAAGTGGATATTTGCAGCTGTAGTCTTTGCAAACTATAGAAAGGGAGAAGATGTTGCATACATTGTGTCTGTGGGCCATCCCTGCTTCCTGGTTGCAGCACAGGTCTCTTTCTCCTTTTCCTAACCTAAATGTTATAGCAGATGAGGCAAAAAACAAAGATACTATGGTGAACTGTATTTGCATAGTATCAGTTATGCATATCAGTGAAGGCAGATTTTTGTTTGCAAAGTAAAATGTTAAGAACCGGCCAAATAATGGTAAAGAGGACTTGCTTTTTCAGATAAGGCCCGATTATAGGCTACTTTTAAATAAATAGAGATACTTCTTAGAAAATGATATAAAGAAAGAACAGTCTACGGCAAATAAAAATATATTTCAATATTGTTGATGTCATGCAATTTGTGTATAACCCATAGAGGACAAAAATGTTTAATAGCCGGCGTGTTATCTTTACCATTGTCTGTATTTTGTCAAATAGGATGTATGATGTATGTTAAGTATGTCTACCTCCTTTTAGCCAGTTCAACCCTGACTCTTCTTTGTGTAGGTGATGCTTGACTTGGACTGACTCATTCTCTTGCAAATTCTTTCAGATTGCCAGTGATGATTTCCGTTACAGTTCATAATGAAGTCCAGGCGTGAATAAAGGCTTAGGGATGACAGGAGAGTGGGGGTTGTCTTGTTGTTGTCTGGGGCAGAGCCCATCCGTCGCCACGGTTGCAGCAGTTATTGTGTTCTAACTGCCTGTGGAAAATATCTGTGGCGTCAACACGACCGTTGTTCATGCTCTCGTTGGTAGTCCCGTCGGCTGTCTTGGCCTTTATGAGAAAAGAGCAACGCAGCCGTGCATCTGTGTTTTGCAGAGGCCTGCAGTTTCGGTTCAGTCTGGGCTTCGTCCAACCTTCGGCCTGTTCTCTCTCAACATTATAACACAGCCGTGGAAAGTCCTCTTTCAGTCAGCAGCCTCAGTATAGTAACTGTAGTTTATAAATGTGACATCTCCAGAAGCATGAGCAGAGTGTGTCATTACCCCTCATCATTCACTAATTAATTCATGATTAATGCATGTTGGCATTTAAATTTTATTATAACGGTGCAGCTATGTACGCTGTGACCTGTGCCTTCATTTACACTGCAGCCTTTCTCCTGTCCAAATGGCTGTGCTTATCTCTGGAAAACTGGATATAATGTCTTCTGCCTTCAGGAAAACATTTTTTAATCCATAATTCAGGTAGCTGGTGCCTTTAACCCTCCTCTGTGTATTGTTGGTTTAATTAGTTGCCTGTTGCCTGAGGATTTATGCGTCTTAAGGTGACAAAAATGCACAAATTCTCATTTTTTGGTTATAATCAGATGCGTCTAATTTAAATGCGAGAGAATCATATTTTGCAGGTCAGGAAGTGTGAAGTTATCTGTTATCGGCTCTTAGTAACAGAGGAGGAGAGACTGCTCGTGATGTGCCAAGATGTCTGAATGTGAACGTTACAGTAATTGAAGAGGATCTATGTGTGCGAAAGACAGACCTAATGGGTGAGTGATGTTGACCCAGCCGAGGGCTCTGTTGATGTTGTGGGTCTGCGGAGACTAAGTGGCCCTCTCACCCCTCCTCTCGGGGTCTTTCTAACTTAGTGCAAGCAGAGCTCATCTCCTGGCGAAGGATGCAATTTTTCTTCAGTTGCGTCTTTCAGAGCCTCGCCGCCCACCTTAAGACTCTCTGACTGTACTTCCCCCCCCCCTCGCCCCCTTCCTCCTGCTACCCCCCCTCCTCTGCCCTGCACTGACTTGGCTATCTTTTTCTTTCTCACTGGAGGCTGTCCTCTTTTCGTTCTACAGAGGGGTTATCCAGGCCTTCCCGTTGCAGGAAATGTTTGTTATTTAATCAAGAAGGGATAATATTCTTGATTAAATGCAGAGAGAAAGGAAAGTCTAGTACTGTTAACTTAAAGTCAAAGCCAATATTTATTTAATCTGTCCTTGGAAAAAGGTGAAAACTGTCATGTAGTTCTCTGGTGGTTTTGTAACCAAAATACACTGAGTGAAAAGTGTAATTACCCTTTATGTCTTGGTGCCAGTTGACTTAACATAGTTATTTCCTCATGTGTATGTATGACTTTGAAAAATAGGAGTTTGCCAGGTGTGTTTTTTGGGTTATAAATGTTACACATGCATCAGTTATAGACTGTGGTGGTTGGTTTTGGTTTAATGTTAATGTAGGGAAACTGTTAATTGTCTGTATCTTCCACTCTTAAGGTGGTGTCACTCTTAAAGCCAGACAGGCCGAGAGGTCAGAACATTGTTTCTTTCAACAGCATACAGAATATCCACTATTGGATGTCATCGAGGACCCTCAAATAGCTCATTCTCAGTGAGTGGACGTCTGCTTGTTGTTCAGGGATAGCCAGCTGTCTGGCTGTCTTGGCTTGCTGGCAGTGCCTTACATGGACTTGGGTAGCAGGAGTGTGAGAGCTCCATGTAAATCAATTAAAGTCTTAGCCAACGCGATGTGAAAACCCAACTTGACCAAAGGGGGAGAACAAGCTGAGATGCTGCCAGAGCTGTTCCTGCAGGAATCGAAGGAGGGGGAGGGGGGGGGTCACATCGCAGTGACAGAAAGGCCTCTTGTTCAAGTCCTCCTGCTCGGCGGTTCTGCTCTGTAGCTGGCCCCCAGAGGCGGGACACCCGCTCGCTCGGCCCACAGCCAGGAGCTAAGGGTGCAAGGGGCTTCAGAGAGGAGCTAAGGAGGCCTTTCATCAATATGATCTGCTGAAAACTGTAGTGCACGCTGCCCATCATGCATCACAGCCCTCCTTGCCCTGTGACAGCAGAAGTGGCTTGAAAAGAGCCTGAAATGTTTTTATCTGCAGGTGCTAATTCTCTGCTCTTGATCTGTCAGGGTCGCATTTGGTTTTTGTAGGCTTTTGTCGTTAGATGTTTCCTCCTTTGTTGTGTTCACTCCCACAGTGTGGGCTAATAACGTCAACAGACTGGCACATTTTTGAGGGCTGCTGTGATGTGGAACATCTGTAATTGAGAGCTTAAGAGTTAATTGTAGGATTCAGAGAGGATGTATTCGTCACCAGTTTGTGCTCAGCCTGCTTTTACTGCAGCTCTTGGGAACAAAACTCATGTATGGCATCAGCAACAAACTTGGTTCTTTAAGATCAACAAGTAGGTAGTAAGAAAAAAAACATATCTTATTGCTCCTATTTAGGCCTTGATATCACCTCAAAGGCAATTATACTGTACATAAAACCAATAGCTCATCATTACATTACTAAAAATGTGCAAGATGTGTAAAATCCAAAGACGGTGACTCCTCCTCAGGAAGGTTAATTACAGATCATGTGTGCAGAGGAAAACTAAGATGAGAGAAATAATACCAAGGCTGGAGAAGTTAACAAGAGTGGCCTAACATGACTTACTCTAAAGCTGTGAACCTTAAACTGTGGGACTCTCTTTTAGATTCCTGACTCTGATCAAAGTACAGAGGGTTTAGTAAGTAGCCTAATATGAAGTTGGCTGTGGTACTAAACAGAAAATGAGCTAATCCCTACTTCAAGGCATTTGACCCTGGCAGATTAAATGACAAGTAAAACCCTAAAATGAAAGTTAAACTAAAGTTTTGTATTATTTTGATACTTAAGAAGTTATGTTTGAGTGTTTTTTTTTTTTTTTTTTTTTTTTTTTTTTTCTGTTTTTTCTTCTGTATTCTGTACCATGTAACCAGATGACTACAGATTTTCGATGCAGTATTTTTCTTTTGGAAGTTTCTTATTGCCAAACTTAACTGTAATGC